TTTTGGATTGGATTCCAGTAAACTTCAAACACACAATCTCCACTCATTATAGAGTAAATGTGTGAATAGAAACATTTAATTGCCTTTTTAAGCACAATCTGATGCGTGTCCAGAACACTAAAAGTCTTGCAACGTTTTCTTAGCACATGAAGGAAAAAGCATCCTCATTTTCCACATAAGCACACAAGTGTCGAAAGTCACGTTGCTACTTCAAGGGAACAATGTGTCTGCCTCTAGAAAGAATTAATTTAGCACGGTAAGAGTAACAACATGGAAAGACCACATGTACTTTTGTTAAAAATCCTTTCCAAGGATAACATGATGTGGCATGTCATATGGCATGTATCAATTATCAGTTATTATGGAACAAATTTTAATGTTTAATGACTACTGATTCATTCGCAACATGTACTATTACTGCTCTTATTATTCTAACCAATTAGACATTTCATCTGGTAGATAATAAAATGAGCATAACCTAAAAAGCTCATTGATTTGCATTGAAGTAATAACTCAAGAATTCATTTTTGGCCATTTATTTCAAATCCATAACGACTCCTGTATGAAGGTCAGAAGGACTAATGAGTGAGCACCATTATGAAATTATATTTTTATTGTTAAAACCTGATTTTCTGAACGAAATATGTGAATTATAAGCAGATCTGGTGGTGTCATGTAAACCAAGTTTAACATGGAGTGAGAAGTAGCTTTGTCTGGTTTAGGTGTGTTATTGGCAGGTTTGACTCGTATGGCGTCTCTGGAGAGTGTGCTATAAACTGCTTTGTGTGACTGATCGCTCATCCCTTGTTCTTTCAGGACTGTTTCACCAGTGGGGAGCGTCCCCGGTGGCCCAAGGTAGGAGAAGTCTACTGTATATGTCACGTCATTACGCTGGAGCTGTGTTTAGGATTGACTGCAGTCACTCTCTCAAACAACGACATTTACCTTGAGATCTGCTACTGAACAGTCAAGTTATGCTTTACGATAATAATAGACCAAGCTGTGCACGGCTCACTGCACTTTCAGAGACTCCAGAGACACGATTATTCACCAGGGACGCGTTAAACTGATCAAAAGTGACAGTAAAGACATTTATAATGCTTCAAAAGATTTCTGTGTGAAATAAATGCTGTTCTTCTGAACTTTCTGTTCATCTGTGAATCCTGAAAAGTAAAATGTATCACGGTTTTCACAAAAATATTGTGCAGCACAACTGTTTTCAACATTGATAATAATCATACATGTTTCTTGAGCAGCAAATCAGCATATTAGAATGATTTCTGAAGATCATGTGACACTGAAGACTGGAGTAATGATGCTGAAAATACAGCTGCGCATCACAGAAATACATTACAGTTTAACAGATATTCACATAGAAAACAGCTGTTTTGCATTAGAATAATATTTCACTGTATTTTTGATCAAATAAATGCAACCTCAGTGAGCAGAAGAGACTTAAAAAACATTTAAAAACCGTACCAAACCCAAACGCTTGAACACTAGCGCATGAGCTATAGATTAATTCTAGATGATATTCTGTAGATTATTTGAGATGAATTCCCAAACACGCAGCATGTTGTAACTGTGTTTCTGTGTGTTTGTCTAAAGGCCCTCCGTACGTGGAGATAATCGAGCAGCCGAAAGCACGAGGGATGCGTTTCCGCTATAAATGTGAGGGTCGATCCGCCGGCAGCATCCCAGGAGAGAAGAGCAACGAGTCCACAAAAACACACCCCGCCATCAAGGTGAGACGCTGAGATCGGCTCCCATCAGGCACTCCCAGTGTTATACCTCTCCATTTCGGGCCAGGAGACACATGCTGTACCTGATACACGACACCGCGTGGTTACATGACTCTGTGCGGCTCTTTTCATAGGTACACAACTACAGCGGGCCTCTGAGAGTGCGGATCTCTCTGGTGACCAAGAACCAGCCGTACAAGCCACACCCACACGAGCTGGTGGGCAAAGAGTGCAAACACGGGTATTACGAGGCAGACTTGCAGGAGCGGCGGATACACAGGTGTGTGTGTGTGAGTGCGAGTGTGTTTCCAGTAAAAAACATGATTCCAGTAAAAGTAGAAATACTTGTTTTCTATTTGAGCAAAAGTACAGATTCTCTAATAAAACATGATTCCAGTAAAAGTAGAAATACCTGTTTTCTATTTGAGCAAAAGTACAGATTCTCTAATAAAACATGATTCCAGTAAAAGTAGAAATACTTGTTTTCTATTTGAGTAAAAGTGCAGATTCTCAAATAAAACATGATTCCAGTAAAAGTAGAAATACTTGTTTTCTATTTGAGTAGAAGTACAGATTCTCTAATAAAACATGATTCCTGTAAAAGTAGAAATACTTGTTTTCTATTTGAGTAAAAGTGCAGATTCTCAAATAAAACATGATTCCAGTAAAAGTAGAAATACTTGTTTTCTATTTGAGTAAAAGTGCAGATTCTC